ATTGAATTGCTTGTCGGAAACCGTAAATATTACTTAAACAAAATATAGTTAAAATTGGCTAAAGAATCTGATTTGTGATTTGACCTTAGGTGATAAACTGATGAGTTATTTCTAGTTTCAGATTTTCACTTCATAGACTTAAATCAGATAATGAATGATGTATATGTGGAAATCTATTTCTTATTGTCATATCCCATCATATGGGAAATTAAACTAAATTAAAACTCTAAACATATTGTAATCAAATCACTGATTAATAAAGGTTTATTTGATTTATATAAATGATATTTAAAATAGTAATTGTAAATAGTTACCTTAAACAACTAATATTCTCCACATAATAATCTATTCTACCGTATAATATCTATATTACTAATCAATTATAAGATGATAAATGTTTATGGTTTGTTCACTATTATCAGTTTACTTGTTATGCATGAAACATTATTAACCTACATCAGTCAAAATTACATATATATATGTATTTATGCACTGTTCATCAATTCTGTTCTAAACTGTTTGAAGTGTAAGTTATTGTGTCACTCTATACTAATCAAAATTGTTATCAAAACGTTATAACAATAACCATCCTCCTCACAATCCTGATTGTTATTTCTGCTGTCGTCATGTTTATCATCAGTTTTTTTTATAGTGTTATTGTATACATAAATAATATTTTCCCTAAAACTACAATTTCAAGTCTGTAACCGATCAATTCCAAATTTTTTTGCTTTTATTCTTCAAACTACTTTTTTTTAATTCATCTCTTATTCATTAGCATTTTGTCCGATTACATACAGACAGGAACATTCACAAGAATATCCTATGTAGGAAGAAGAAGAAAAAAAAAAAATTTATGAGCGTTTTTTTTTTCAAATGATGGTGATTATATCACAGCAGAAATAGTTATTATTATTATTGTTTGCAAAACTACATTTTTGCTGATTCATCATCAAGTAGTTCATAAATAGGCATTAACTGGTACGTCAATTCTTCCCAGCCAAAAGATCATAATAATTATTCCATGTTAGATGTTCAGTATTCAGTAGATACATATATATATATATAAAATCCATAATATATAATAATATGTTAAAATATAAAACGAGTCAATTTACGTTGTCTAGGTTTCAAGTAGATATGTATTCAACGGCTTAGCAACATAACACATACATATGCACACAAACTATACTATTCACTCAATAAACACAATCAAGTCGATTATATATATATATATATATATATATATATATATATATATATTCATTTTAAGCAAAGCAAATCTTGTACAAAGCTGATTATTCATTTAAAACAAACAATAATGTCAACTGTTATTTTTCGTCATGTTAATAAAAAGTAAAACCAAAAAAAAGAAAAAGAAGAAAAATTCTGTTCATCTTATTCTTGATTTATATTTCATATTTTCCACTAGACTGCGGATAATAGTGAATTATCTAACTATTTATTGAATAATTTTAATTAGTTAAACGACAATTTTCACAGATTAAACTCATGAGTCAATTGAAACTAGACCACCATGGAAAACCTGGAAGCACTAGACGGCCGTTTCGTCCTAGTATGGAACTCCTCAGCAGTGTGCATCCACGATCCCGCACCCCATGAGATTCGAACACAAGACCTATCATTCTCGCGCCAAGCGCTTAACCAACTAGACCACTGAGCCGGCATCCAGATTTTCCACGGTGGTGTAGCTGGAATTGACTCATGAGTTCAATCTGTGAAATTTCTAAAATCTCCACAAACCCCTTATGACAATTTTAAATCAAAAAAGAAAGGAAACATTACAAGAAAAAAAATTAAATCATAATTCATATAAAGTATCCATGTGTTATATTCTGTAATGTAAAAAAAGAATTCTAATCTATAGTAGTTACCGGAATCAAATAGTCTACCTATGTAACTGTCAATTAAATATTTCTCTTTTTCTTTTTTCCTTTTTTTCTTTCATCTAAAATCTATTATACACATCTAAAATAAGCTTAATTGAATTTTATGGTTGTGTATTATATAACTAGAAAATTTAATTCAAATTAGATTTATGATATGAATGTGTTTTACTTTTTCGTCATCTAAATAATATAGTTTAATCAGAATAATTACTTGACACTATAGTGTGTTTTATGACATATATCAGTAATTTAAGGATTAGATAATTGTACTATAGTGCTACGGAGTTTCATATTGAAAAAAGGAAGTAACCGATCGTTGTTTTTCTTTTTTCTCTTTTTGCTTTTTATCTACTTTCGGCGAGACTCTAATTTTAGGGACGACCCTTGAACGAATCTTAAGTGACCTCGACAATTATTAGCCAATCAGAAGACAGTTAGTATAAAGTGAAAATATCTTATGAGAAAGTAATGAATTACAGTGCGTATTCTCCTTTTACATGAGTTAAAAACTTGTTAAGGTTCGACAAAGGTTCGGAGGTTCTGAATTCATAATGCATACCGTATAGAAACTCGTCCAGAGGGTTGGGGTTTAGGGTTAGGGGTCGGTTAGGGTAAGTTGAGGGTTATGATTAAGGTTAGGATTAGGTTCACGGTTGGAAACGTAGCCTCTCAATAGGGTTAGGGTTGTAGCCTCTCAATAATCACCTCTTCTCTAAAATCCGCTACGAACCGATCGTATGTTAGCATCGCGTGTTGAACTTGGCTCCGTGACCTTGAAATTGCTCAAACGCTTCTGATTGGCTCGTCCCTAAATTAGAGTCTCGCCCTAAGTTGAATTACATTTCAATGGAGTGGTAAATGTAATACGATTATTATCAAATGTATCTATTAACGGTTTTAAAACAAAAAATATAATAACAAAGAATGAAGTTGTTCCCCAAACGTAGGCCATTGAATAGACGTCACAAATAACTTCTAAATGATGATGCCAAATTTTCAGTTGAAAAATCAAAACAAATGTTATCTTTATGAGATTTTAAGGGCTTATCAACTAAAGTGAAGCAAAAAAAGGAGAAGAAGAAGAATAAATACACTTTTATGTCAATTCATTGAAAATTCCCGTGATTGTGTTTTTTTTTGGTATTTGAAGTAGTTTACAGACAAAATCTGGTTTTCATAATCATTCATTTTATAAGGTTTATAAATATTATTCACATGAATATATTTTGGGTGAAGGAAACATTTTACTTTACCTAAATACTGAATGTATTTATAACTAATATTGATTAATACATTTCTGTCTCAAAAAATCATTATTATGGATAACATAATCGTCTATGTATGATAAAGTTATGTTCAATAAAATCTGGATCTAAATAATTATTTAGGATTAAATTGTTACAAATAGATTTTAGTGAGATTTGATCATGTTCATGAAATTGAGGATATTTTTTGGGGTATTAGTTGATTAGCATCAGGTAGAAAATGAATACAAGTCAAAAGGTACTCAATAGATCTTTCCATGATAACGTATTGATTGTAACTCAATCATATAGTAGTTGAAGTAGTCATATACTATGACACTGAATTATCATCATATCATATAGCTAACTAACTAAAATTAGATATATACGTTTGTCTCAGGCTCGTTACTTTTGATGTAGTCTCTATGTTTTTATTTACTAGTATAGGGATTGTGGAGACTGTTAAGTTTTTGATTGAGATCATGAACCGATTGATATAAGATCACCATTTAAGACCTGGAAGCACTGGATGGCCTTTTCGTCCTATTGTGCGCATCCACGATCCCGCTCGCGGGATTCAAACCCAGGGCCTTCAGTCTCGCGCGCGAACACTTGCGCGACCATCTTCAATTGTACCAAGGTAGATGCCTGTCTCTACCCGACACGAATTAGCTCCACTGATCATGGCTTCTCACTAGAACTCCGAGAATTCTCTCACAAAGCTAGTCACTAGTGAGCACATGCCAATTACTAGTATAGGTATTGTGGAGACTATTAAGTTTTTTATTGAGATCTGTCTATGTTCACTGGTTCACATTTTTGTAAACTCTTAGACAATACCAAAGCAACCATTTCAGCCTCTCTAGTCTCCAAATGCTGTTGGTTTTTAGTGAATATAATGTTTATCGTATATATGTTCACAACTAAATGAATATTCTACTATTTTTAATTAACGTATTAATACTAAGATAATGGACTTCTAAATGAAATTGTTTGTTCAAATTGTCCATCATATTGCGTTGTATGTTACTTATGTTGGTCGACATAAGTAGTATGTAACATCAATCAGAAGTGAAATGCCTGGCAGCAAAAGGTTGAGAATATAGAATTGAAGATAATAAAAATGTAATCAGATCGTAATTGTAGTAAAAACAGAAATGAATGAACGATGAATTTTGTAAGAGACAGCTGTTGGAAGATGTACAAATAAAGTATTTAATATATGGTACTTCAAATTTTACCAAGGCACTCTATAATTTTGAATTACAAGATAAAGTGGTTTTCCCCACCTGAGATCCCATTTACTACAATATGGCTGTGCTATGAATAATGAAGATAAAATGTAGGAGAAGAAACAATAGTTTAATCTCACAAATTCCTAGTACTGTTATACTATGAAATTGGTCAAAGAGATACCCACGACAGACATATTATCAAAAAAGTCTATGTATTTCAATGGAAACTCAATTACTAATAACAATCACTTACCTATATAAACTGACCACTTCAAGAGTTCTTCAGAAACAATCGTTATGTAAATGTCACTTAGAAGTCATTATTTTGCAAGTATTCTACAAATAAATAATGCTTATTATTAATTTAGGCTTTTGATCCATGAGTATATAGAATTATATGGCGGTGAGCATAGTTACTCGTTAAAGCAAATGTTTGGACGAATATTTTTAAGAAATTTACTGATTACATGTAAGCATTTGAAATTTTTACCAAATAAGTGAAAATTATCTGTGGCTGTTTTGCAAAAGAATGCCGTTTTCAATATTACCACGGATCTATTTCAATATGATATTAATTATGAACAACATTATTTATTTAACAATCATTATAGCTATGCAGCATATTGTTAATATTCGACCAATTACTGGTGAAGTCATCATTGGCAGACCGTATGAAATGGTTTGTGAAGTTGAACCGCAACCGGAAGAGCCAATAAGTTTTGTATGGTATCATAATGCCAAAGTTGTGCATCGTGAAGCATTATTACGTTTGAATTCATTATCGTATCGTGATATAGGTATGTATATATGTCGAGCTGAATGGACACCAAGATATTCACGTACTGCTATATCAGCTAATGCAACAGCTGAATTAAGTTTGGCATTGACACGAGAAACAAAAATTGGTAAGTTCTTTGTACTAAACATATAAATCTACACATCACAGCATAAAAAGACCACCTTTAGTTTGAAGAACAAACAGTCCTTATGATAACATATATAACTGAATTAACAAGTTTGATTATTGGAATTGTTATGTTAAGCAATAAAATATCAGGACGATTGGAATGTTAACAGTATGTCTTGACAAAGCATGCTCAATTTCTGTTAGGTTCCGATAAGCATAATGGATGGTAACTTTGGGATCCATTTATGGATCAATAATATGCCTATATTTTTATCGTATAATTGTTAAATAACTAAACTATTCATATTCATATTCCTCTTATCATAAGCTTTATTTTGACCTATGAACTATTACTATACGATCTACCATTCTTGAACTACATCCCTCATTCACAGCCACTTTTGGCTAATTCTTGTACAAATGTTGTTTCATATTTTATGGTACGGTGTGGTCTATCCGGTTGGTATATAAACTCAGTATACTTGAAATGAATGATTCATATCGCAGAGACTGAGATTGGCTTTCTGGACTTAATTGGCTGGGCTAGGCGGAATGCAGGACCAATCAGGACTCTAGGCTGCTCGTAAGGGTTTTACGCGTTATTGGTCCGACCGACAATTCAATGCTCTCTAATTGGCGGTATCTTTACGGTATACATTAACAGGGCACACAGGCTACAAGTTATAACAATTTCTAGCTAGTTAATTTAGGTTTTTACATCAAACGATGAAGTTTTAAAACAAGTAAATCATTCAGCTACCATTTACTTATTACTATGTTGTATTTATTAATTCAAGGAGTTTTGTCTGTTAAAAGTTTATATATCGAATTATGTATGTGCTTTGCAAATCCGGAGCTATTCACATAAAGTATAATGTATTACTGCCTAATGTCAGCGACACTCATCCATGTTGAATGAATTGACTTTATTTCCATACCATTCACTATCATTTAAGTAGAGGAAATTAAAACAGAGAGACCCATTTCAGAATCTTTATAGTCACAACTAATGGAAATGTGAACTAAAAAATCTTGTTTTTCTAGAAGAGATCCGATTCTTGCAACACCACAGATAATCACTGGAGTATGCATCATTAAAAGTTAGCTAGCTAGTTTGAGAAATAGACAAAATCAGTTAATTAAACATGTTTCATTATCTTCTTAAAATTTAAGCTTGCTTAATATTTATTTGATAAATTAGTTATTAATCATGGAGAAATTATTCAGTCATAACATCATTAGATGTTTCTTTGTTCATAACAAACTATAAAAAGACTTATGACAGATATTAATCAGTCTTGAAAACACGTTAAATGTACTTTACTTATATTTTACATTTGTAGAAATGAGTCCTCCGCCTGGTTCAGTTATGGTTTCTTTACCTGGAGAAACACGTGAACTTCACTGTGAATTTCCTGTAGCTAATCCAAGAGATGTTAGGTGGTATTTTGAAAATCAATTATTAGAGAATCATCCAACTGTGAATGCTACAGGCAAAATATTTCGTATCGATCGTTTAAGAGTAAGTATTGTGACAATTCGTGGCATAGAATATGATCATGGAGGAACATACGAGTGCAGAATTGGTCGTGATATAAAACAAGCACATTTAGTTGTTAGAGGTAAGCCTATCTTCTCATAAGACAAATTTTGTAAGACCAGTAAATTCACTTTAAACAAAACTATATAATATAACTGCCTTAATTAAAATAGATTTATAAAACTTAGCAAATATTACAACTGGCAGTCTGGCTGTTGCTGAGACAGACATGTTAGCATAATACAAGTTTCTACTGTAATAATAAAAATTATTAAGTGAACATAATTAAATGAAGCATTTGCATTACATAATTGACAAGTAATTATCTGATTTATCTAATTTTCGAGATGTTCAAAGTTAAGGTTACCAAGATTAATTGAAATCTAATTAGTTGTATCGAAATGAATTAAACAATAATATTTAAAAAAATCAGGAATCATTCTATACCCATTATGAATAAGTCGTGTTTACATTAGATAGTATTGACTTAGCAAATAAATATTTCATTCAAACCTCGATCCTTGTCGAACTTCTATAGGACCTATTATTTATTTACTTACTTACAATTGTATCTTCTGGTTGATGGTTTTCATAGTTCTCCAGGTTTCTGCCCCATACAGTAGAACTGTCTCGACATTTGTATTGAAAATTCTGACCTTGATGTTGGTTGACAGTTGCTTTGAGTTCCAGATGTTCTTTGGTTGCAGATATTCTGCTCTTGCTTTGCCGATCCACGCCTTCACATCCTCATCAGATCCACCGTGTTCATCAATGATGCTGTCCAGATATATAAAGGTTTTTATATCTTCCAAATTTCCTCCGTCAAGTGTGATTCGATTGTTGCATGATGTGTTGTATCGGAGGATCTTGCTTTTCCCTTTGTGTATGTTTAGACCTATTGCTGTCGAGGCTGCTGCTACACTGACCGTCTTCTCCTGCATTTGTTGTTGCATTTGGGATAGAAGAGCCAGATCATCTGCGAAGTTTAGATCGTCCAGCTGCGTCTTAGATGTCCACTGTATCCCGAGTTTCCTTTCAGATATTGACGTCTTCATGACCCAGTCGATCACCAGGAGAAATAGGAAGAGTAGGAGTAAGCAAACTTGTCTGACACAGGTCTTTACTTCGAAGAAGTTTTTCAACTGTTCTCTATGCACGATTTTGCAGTTCAATCCATCATAGGAATTCCGCATGATATTGACTATCTTCTGATGCACGCCTTAGTGTCGAAGAAGCTTCCATAGTTTTGTTCTGCCCACGCTATCGAATACTTTTTCGCATTCAACGTAGTTGATGTAGAGTGATGAATTCCATTCACTTGATTGTTCCACAATGATCCGTAGAGTTGCGACTTGGTCTGTACACGATCTATCCTTAAGAAATCCTGCCTGTTGGTCTCGAAGTTGGGCGTATACGGAGTCATTTATTCTGTTTAACAAAACCCTGTTGAAGACTTTTCCTGGTATTGAGAGAAGAGTAATGCCTCCGTAATTCTCACACTTGCTGAAATCGCTTTTTTGTTATTTTGACCGAAAGTCATTCTTTTCATTCTGTTGGTACTTGTTCTTCATCACAAATCTTCCTGGAGAGAATGTGGAGTATCTTTGCAGTTACTGCTTCATCTGCTTTCAGTACCTCTGCTGGAATGTTGTCTGATTCTGATAATTTGCCGCTCTTGATTTGTCTTATGGCCATGTTGATCTCTTCATTTGTTGGTGAGTCAACATCGATTGAGAGGTCCATGGGGGCTACTTCGATGTTGGATGGGTTCAGTGGAGCCGGTCGATTCAAGAGTTCTTTGAAGTGTTCTACACACCTGTTTTGCTGTTCTTCGATGTTGGTGATTACTTTGCCCTCCCTGCTTTTCACTGGTTGTTCCGGTTTACGATAGTCTATAGAACCTATATATTATATTACTAAATTCAATGAATTGAGATTTCGAAATTTTTTTAGTAGGCTCATTATTTTGCTATAAAAATTACTCATCAATATTATATCTGTGTTGTATAACCTAGTCTTAGCTAGTAAATTAAAATAAAAACCACACGTTAGAACGAAAGATATTTTGTGATTAAAATGCATTTTTACTAATTAAGATTTTTCTTTATTAAACAGCTGAAGAAGGATTGGAAATCAATCCAAAGTCGGATACAGTTGATGAAGGTGAAGCAGTAGAATTTCATTGTCGTGTACATGGAATGGATGGCAACATTAATCGTCAATTAGAATGGTATTATAGACCATTTTATAGTTCGACACGTGTACGTCTTGATGTTGATACACCTGATAGTTTTATGCGTCATGATGATCTAGTTGCTCAACATACCAGTTTTATTAGTAAAAGCAGAGCACGTGTTGCTGATCAAGGTGAATATATTTGTAGACTACCATCTCAAAATGAAGAAATTGTCGGAAAACTTTTTGTTAGTAAGTTAAAAAATTCACTTACTTTTTTTTAACAGTCTTTATAACTTGAAACATTATACTATTTTAACTTGATCTGGTTTTTCATAGACCTATAATACTGAACAGTAAAATGAAAAAGGAAAACTTCATCAATATTTAATATAATATGTTGAACTTCACTTAAATGTTAGATATAGTCGGCAACTAAAAGCCTCTAAATAAACAGGATTGCCTGTCATATACATGACATAAAGTTAAACTTTGCACAATATCCAACCTCCCGCCTACATATATATATATATATATGCCTTTAGAAAAAAATTGTTTCCGACTAACTTTGTTTATCTGAACTATTTTTATTTCATCATATTTCACTTCAACATGTAAGTAAACATTCTTTCTACCTTTCAAATCTCCCGCTTTACTCAATAAAACAGTTGATATGAAGTTAACACAAACTAATAGGCCGATCACATGTTTTTAACATTCAGTATGTTGATTTTGACCATATATATAATGGTAACATTCATATCGAAAATAGTAATGATAATGCAGATGAATGGAAAAGGTCACTAACACATAAATACTATGATAACAATAATAACAATATTACGGTTGCTGTACTTTAGTTGCTGACAATCATTTGGCTAAGGGGAAAAAGATATGCCTTTCTCTCTTAGACTAAAGACAGTTAATTTATGTAATTTAGCTAAATTTTAATAGAATAATTTTAAATTAAATATTTACCCATTAAAGTAATTAATAGTTGCTTTGGATTAACTCTTAAGTTAATGATTAATCGTTAAGTATAGATACGCGTTTTATACATGAACTTAATTTGTGAAAATTCATGAAAATACAAAGAACGAAACGGCCGTCCAGCGCTCTCAAGTTTCCCATGGTGGTCACACATGGCCACGCGCATACAACCAGGGAATTCGTACTCACTGCCTTCTCGCGAAAGGGGTGCTTTTTACAAAAGTGAGAGAACAAAAAGTGAATATCCGGCGCTTTAACCAAGTTGGTGGATATGGAGAAACCACCTAGGGGAGTTGGAAAACCCTGATTTTAAATCAATGGTGCACATGAGCTTCAGGATCGTAAAGGAACAAATAGCGTATGAACCTATTGTTTGTCACCGGCTAACATAGAACTGCATCTCCTGAGTTACTCCACTGCCTTGTGGATCAGACCTCTAGGTCGAACGCTCCGGGAACCACCTGTTTCAGTTTGGGCACCTGGGCAGTATCCCAGCCCTCACACAAATCAAATGATTTATGTTGAGCATATCTATTTTGTACCTCTTTTTACCAATTTTTATGTGTTTAAATAATAAAAAAGTGTGGTCTTAGCTTCCTATGGTTTATGAACTCAACTATTAAACTACTGTAATATCCACAAAACCCCTTTCTGATACAATGACTTGTCAAATAACTTGCTTTGAATAATCCTAATTTAATAAAATATAAAAATTTCATCAACTTTAAATAATCATTCCATTAAATTATCAAATGTAAAACTTCACAAAAGTACAGAAACAAAAAACAATACACTTAATTTATAATAGACTTCAGTGAATTGCAATCTACTTGGTAGACTAACATTTTAATGTTTCCTTACAGTTGTAATGACCAAACTTATAAAACTTTTATACAATTCAACCCATTTATAAATTTTACTAAACCAAGAATGATGAAAGTAGCAGAATAACATGAGCTCATTGTATTTTACTGTTTCTTGTTAGCTGTTTACAACTTAAACATAGTAGTATTGTAGTGAACAGAACACGGGTAGGGACAATCGAATTATATTTAGCACAAAATTACAGGGTTACTTGGTAAAATAGAAAAACCATACTATAATACTTAATTTGCAAAATTTTCAATATTTGTCTCAAACTTCATTGTTCTTGCATTTCCATACTAATTGCTTTCTATTCCCGCTCTTCCTTTCTTGATCTTCCCCATCTTCTGCTGCCAGACATTACATTTCTGACTCGAGTTACATACTACTTATACCAATATAAGTAGCACGCACCACAGTATTAATCTTTAAAAATCATTGTGCATACTTTATATCATAAAATTCGGAAGAGTTTTCTTCAATGAAAAATAATGAAAAAGGTTATAAGTATGAACGAACAAAAAGCAATGTTCAAATGTTAATTAATGCTAATGTATAAGTTAAAAATAAAAATATTCTAGAATAAATAACTGAGAATATAGAGACAAAATTATGTAGAACCAATATTTACGTGTTATAGTTATGCAACTCATAACACAAAATCAACTAACCCAGCACATATCAAGTTTCTCATAAAGGAATCTGCCACGATTGATCCCTGTGGGCTACCCATAACCATTTCATCAATATGATGATATAAGATTTTATTGAATCTAAATTGAATAATTCTAGTACATATTAGTAGAAGCTATTTAAATTCATCTTTAAGTTAAGGTGTTGACCTATTATCTGGTTGGTTTCCTCTAATGCGATTGTAGTGAATAATAATGGTACATCAAAGGAAACCATAAATTTATCAGAAATGTCCACTTTTTCTTGCAGTTCAATAAATTGAAAGGTGTCTTTTAAACTGGAGTAGGAGAATGAAAATGTTTTCATTCTGAATTAAAATCTTAAAAGCTTATTGATGATCTTTAGACAGAACTTTTGACTGTAGAATTTGGAAATATCAACAAATATTATAGAAGATTAGACTATTTTAAATTCCACAACCGAATTAATGTCATAGTAAGGTTTCACTTGTATAACATTTTATTTATTTTAAATTCTATGATCGTAAAATAATAGGAATTCATGGGTCAGTAATTCAAGATGGATTGTAAGTATTAGAAAGCTCAATCATCACAATATTTTGTTTGATATCATCTGACTCTCCTAAAGGGATAAATTTGTCAATCTGTACAAACAAATCTTTTAGGACTATATTTTATTTAGTCTCTAAAATATGCAAAATATTATTGGAATCGGAAACAATCAGCCTTATTTAAATAAATAAATGGTGATATAGACTGAAATATCTAAAATTGAAAGAAGGTCAATTCAATATGAGAATTACTCAATATCGTGTGATTCCTCATTTGCAACCATTAGGAGTACTTAAATTACGGCTTAGTAGTGTAGTATGGTTAGTAGACAAACCTGACAGTAGGTTGTCTTTATGTAAGAATTTAGACTTCATAAAGTATTATAGAATCTAGTAGTTATTTCAACTTGTTTTAAGATTAAATGCTATGAAAATGATATCTTCAAGCTATCATTCTGTGGATATCCAGTTTGTTAATTTGCTATTTACTTCTAACTTTATCGTCATTAAAGAAATTCCTTCTATGCATCCAGATATACATAGACCGTTATAAAGTCAGCAATTATTCCCAATACATTATATAAAGAAGTCTCTTTTAAATACCAATCCCGTTCAAGGGTTCACTAAAAAGCTCTTGGTCAGTGTAAGTAGATAATTAATCGAAATTTTAATCCTAAGAACCGTAAAATATCCTTCAAACAGTTGAATATTAATTAATAAAAGTAATGATAGAATTGAAAGTGCCAAGTTCCATGAATCTGTTAGGATAACACTAAATAACCATGAAAGATTGTCTTAATAGTCCACATGTCATATTTAAATGTTTTATACTGAATTTCAATTGTTTTTTTAACCACAAAGGAGCAGTAAAAAGTTACATATTGACAATCACACCTCAGAGATTGACTGTTCGACCATATCAACCAGTAGAGTTTGAGTGTTTTGCCGCATCTGAAGATGGACAACCGGCTCCATTTACTCCACGATTTCGAGTTATAGATTCAAGAATCAGTTTCGAAACTACACGTGTCAGTGAAAACCGTGTAAGATTTGTGTTGCAACGAGGATTAGGTCCAGATCAAAATGGAACGATTGTTGAATGCCTTTCAGATGTAAGACTAAAATATCCTAAATATTTATATATTATTATATTGTTTATATATATATATATATATATATATATATATATATATATATATATATATATATATAATATATATATATATATATATATATATATATATATATATATATATATTTGATTCATTATTAATTTAGAAGTACACTTTCATTCAAAGGTGGCAAATTTATATCCTCCTATTCCCAAACGGTTTGCACACAATATCACCATAATACATATATCATAAGACAGATATATCCTATATCAGCCATAACTATTTACCGTTTCTATGATAAATAGTATTAAGCACACATATTTATTACAATTCACAAAATTTCCAATATTGTTTCACTAGTTATTCTAATAAACATTGGTAAATAGTTACCATTTTAATTGCCATAGATTTGACAAATATAAATATTTTTTGTTTCAAATGACCATTATAAATATGCAACAGTAATTCAATTGAGCTTCAACAAAACCTGATTAATCAATCGGTCGAAACTATATACCAATAATGTTTTTTGTACTATTTTTTGAGCTATTTAAAGGTAGTCCACCCAGTAATCTATTGTATATTTATGAATAATTTTCAAAAAATCAATCCCCTTTACAAAAATCAAACAATTTTTGATCAATATTCAAACTTAGTACTTTTAAAATGTTTAATCACTAATTGAAAACAAAAAGAAAAGAAATTTACTTCAAACATTGAACAGAATATTTCCCACTATTGATCATTTTCATAAAAACATGTTTGATTTCTATTGGTTGCTAATTCAATGAAATGATGTCAAATGTTAATGGGTTCCGAATTAAATTATATATATATATATATATATATATATATATACTGCATAAACGTAGTCTGAGCGGAATAATAACTTTAAGAATCTGAAATGACAATTCTTTTATTCTTGTAATATGTCCGTAAATTATTCGGTTGAATAGGAAAGTATTTCTACATTTAAATTTTGAAGATAAACAACTAAATACGAACAGTAGTTTAATGAAAATGGATGAAAATGATTATTTGTCTTTAAAATTTTTGGGAAACCATTTTAAGTGTCCCTTAATTTCAAATAGTTATTCATCAATTGATATCAATTAATTGAAGTAAACTATCTTAATAATTTTTTGGTTGAGATCATGAATTAATTGATGTTAGACCACCGTTGGAAACCTGGAAGCACTGGACGGCGTTTCGTCCTAGTATGGGACTCCTCAGCAGTGCGCATCCACGATCCCGCACCCCGCGGGATCCGAACCCAGGACCTACTGGCTTCGCGCCTGAGCACTTAACCATTAGACCACTGAGCCGGCAACCAATGGTGTTAGTGTCTAACATCAACCAATCCACGAAATTGCGCGACCACCTTCCATTGTACTGAGATAGATACCTGTTTCTACCCGACACGGATTAGCTCCACTGGTCACGACTTCTCACTAGAACTCCGAGAATTCCCTCATGAAGCTAATAATATACAGAAGATAGACTAATGATCGTTTACTTTACTATTACTTTGCTTGAAGTTTATCCATTTTTCTCATAAAGAGAGAACGAAAGGAATTAGTTCATTTTACACACCGTAACCTTTTCAATTTTTGTGTGGTCATACAAATTGTTAATAAATTTGCTTATCAATTACACAGTGATTTATGACTTATAATGTGGGTTTTTGTTTGCTTTTATGAACTTAAGAAAATTTTCAACATGAAAACTGAAAACATGAAATGAGCAATCATTTAAATGAAATTATTATTGTGTCAGTTTATTTACACTAATTTTAAATTATGATTGCAGGAACCAAGTAAACCAACATCAGCAATAATTACGGTTGAAGATATCTGTCCGGATGGTTCACGTCGCTGTCGTTCTGGTCAGTGCCTACCAGCTGGAAGATTCTGTGATGGAGTGAGGGATTGTGATGATGGTTCGGATGAAGATCCTAAAATGTGCAGTGAGTAGGACAAATAATTTGTTGATTTGACTGAAAAAATTAAATTACAAAGAATAATTTAAACTTACCAACCTGTTCTATGTTATTATGATTAGTTGATTCCGGGAACTTAACTTATGCCTGAATTTAGATTCACCCTCTTCGTATAATTACTTACATGATAAACTGACCGACATATAAGGCTTTTGAACTGTACACTAATTATCGAAATAACACTATAATCAGATAATATCTTGACCGTTGCAGTTTATTCTTACATTTAATTTTGTTGATGAGGTTACTTTTCCAAGCCTCCTAATGTTAGAAATATATTATTAACCTGGGAGAGAAAAAGAGAAAGATTTTGCAAAAATGCTTCCTCTAACAATGGCATTCTTTTGTTCCAAATATCATCAATATAAATTTAACAGAATCTTTAGTCTGAACATTTGTGATTGTAAACGAATGCGGAATCTAAATTGTATTTGGCTTTCGTATTTGTTCAGAGAACTAAAGTTATTGAATATAAATGAAATTTTTACAACATACAGACATACTACATATATATGTACAACATACACTTAGAAAACTAATAATATGTGCGGAAGAAAGCACAAACAACTTGTCAAAAAAACCGTTAACAAACATAGAAGAACACTTACACCGAAAGGGACTAAACTACAATACAAGTAACGCCTCAGAACTGGAGTCATCACTCAAAACTGCCGTGAAGAAACTCAACAGGAAATAAGACAAACTATGGTACCGCTAACTTGACGGATGAAACACAACACCCAACTGACTTCACAAGAACAAAAAGCTTTGAAAAAACTCAGAACGAGAGAAGATATTGTCGTAGTTCCAGCGGACGAACGATGCACAACAGCGATTATGGACAAAGAAGAATATATCAAGAAAGTCGAGGAACTACTTGAGAATAAAAGCGTATACAAACCAATGGATGCAAATCCACTTAAAAGTTTGGACAACCGAATCTCAAAGTTTTTAAACAAGCTCGTCAAAGCAGGACAAATATCAAAACAAGACTAATGGAGAATGAAATTCAATGCACCATTACTCCTTTGATTCTACGGTAGGTCAAAAATACACAAACCAAATATGCCACTACGTTCAATGGTAGCACTCCCCGGAACCACAGCACACAATTTACCAAGAGAAATTTCACGAATATCGAAACATCTAATAGATTCATTCAATCACTCCATCAAATCCTTCATACAATATAGGCGAGGTTCCAAATTATTTTCTAACCAATGGTTTATAGAAACCTTCCACGAAAGATAAATAAAACTAATTGTCCAACAGAATATAGATGCTGTGTTTTTCTGTTTTATCACATATCATTACCATGTATCAATACTAATCTGTGCATACAACTGAAGATTTTTAGACATTTTAGCGATATTCTAATTGTTTTTTTATAATCCACATGGTATATTAATCATGAAATCACTTTAATAATAAAGTATTTGTAGTCATTGACCAATTGTTCATTGAGCAATACATCTTCAACAATGTTCATTCTTCTCATTCACACTCAATAAAGTTATCTGTTTAGCGATGAATATAGTCTTTTATAGACAAAATTATTATCTATATTACTAATCTTGTATAGTATAAAAATATCTCTGAAGAGATAACAGATATAAACAGCATAAGTTGATTTCCAGTATTTCATGTATTTAAATCGTATATTTAAAAAAGCTATTTAAGTAGTATCTAATTGTCAGAAAATTATCATTGAACTTTCTTGAATAACCTAATTTTTCGTCAAATAAATATCTGTAATTTTGTTTTGCTTGTTTATTTATTTATTTTTTACATCAACTATTCATTAGATATTTGTGATCCACTTTCAAGAAAATGTGAATATTATCAAGGAAAAGAATCGACAGTATCAACATTTATGGTACATTGGACTTGTGATGGTGAAAATGATTGTGGAAATGGTTTTGATGAATCAAATTGTGAAGGTAAACAAATAAACAATTTTAAATTAAAATATACATTCATAATAAATTTATTTATCATGTATTGAAATCTTTTGGATAGATTATAGTAAATTTTGATTTTGTTGTTTTATCAAATCATATTCTATATGATAAATTTCCCTTAGAAACTGTAGAACTGAATATGATTTTTTAAAAATGGCGGAAGCATTATTCGTATGATAGTCAATTAGTGTGTCAATAATATCAATAAATTTTAGTCAAGTTATTCTAGATACGTGATCTGATTGTTTTGAAGTATTAATTAAAAAAACTATTTCATTTTTCGATAGTTGAGATTATTAGTTAATTGAAGCTAGACCACCATAGGAAATCTGGAAGCATTGGATGGTTGTCTCGTCCTATTGTAGGACTCTTCAGCAGTGCGCATCCATTATCCTGCACACGATACTCTTCTTTTTTGTTAGATTTTATTTAATCCAAAAAGAAATAGCTGATAATTAACCATAAAATGCAACTCGATGTAACGTATAAAATTAGTGAGAGAGAAATGAATTTATTGAATTTATTGATATTTCATTGGACAAAGCAAATGATCTAAGTCGACAAGATATCTGTGGAAACGTTTTTTTCTTTTGAGGATGTTAGAATAAGATTTCTGGTTGTTATCATGAGTAAATTCATATTATATACCAAATAACAAACTTAGAAAAGACAAATCATATTTGTACTATACCCTACAATTATATACTTCTCATTATAGATGTTGTGGAGAATACTAAGTTTTTTATTGAGATCATGAACCGATTGATGTTAGATCACCATTGAAAACCTGGAAGCACTAGATGACCGTTTCGTCTTATCTTAGGGCTCCTCAGCAGTATGTATCCACAATCCCGCTCGCGCGATTCGAACTCGGGGCCTTCAGTCTCGCGCGCGAACGCTTAACCTACTGTGCCACTTAGCCGGCATCCAATTATGTTAATGTGTTGCCCCAACCAATCCACGAAATTGCGCGACCATCTTCCATTGTACCGAGGTAGATGCTTGTCTCTACCCGACACAAATTAGCTCCACTGATCACGGCTTCTCACTAGAACTCCGAGAATTCCCTCACGAAGCTAGCTACTAGTGAGCTTATGGTAATTATCAGTATAGGTGTTATGGAGATTGTTAAGTTTTTGATTGAGATCATGAACCGATTGATGTTAGATCACTTGACTGACCAATTGATTTTTCTAACTACGGTGTAATTATAATCAAATGATAGACAGAATAAAATGTCTATCCTTTAGATAGAAACCAAAAATATAACCTTCCTAACACAGTTATTACTAGATTTAATTAAATGGTTTTTTTATCTTAACAATTTGAAATTAAACCTTGTATTATTGAACTAGGCAAGCGTAAGAGTTATTCATATTGTCGATTATCTTTGGTAATTAATAAAATGGATAGATTTTAAAGGTATTACCATTTTTCTCAATAATGTACATTATTGAAACTATACAAAATGTACATAGTTTTAAACAGTTACTGTAAATTCAAAGATATTGCCATAAAAGCCATTCGATAACTCTTCTAGCTAATATTATTAGTGTGTTTTCTGTGTTCCCTGACGTGCAACCATTCAGATATTAACGTACTTATCGAATTCTACATCATTTCTAAGTATTTCAATTTGTATTCACCAATTTATTAATTGAACATGTTGGTCTATTCATAACATTTGCAAAGTATTCATGGTATAAATTTAAATAAAGTATTTTTTTCTCAATTCCTTTATAAGCACGAGCTTCAGAACGTTGTCAAGATCGAATGTTTAGTTGTAGACGAGATGGTCGTCAAATTCCAATGGCTTTTGTATGTGACAAGGATCGAGATTGTAGTGATGGTGAAGATGAATTAACTTGTGGTAAGCTTGTTTAAAACAAACCACTAGAGTTTTATCACTTAAATAAACACTGTTCACTGGCAAAAAAAACACAGGGTTTTCAAAAATATTTCTAAAGATGATAAGCCTATAATTTTAATGGATCTAAAAATGTAGGAATTTAGTACTTCTATGTACTTGAATTACATTTTTTTTATTATTATAAAGGATTATAAACAGTTTGAGGATATCGTTAAGAAAATATTCTCTCTTGAAATGTTACTAATTTTTCTACAACGACAAAACAGATTCCCGTTGACAAATAAATATGAATTTCAATGGTTAAGATCATGAGTCAGTTGAAGCTAGACCACTATGGAAAACCTGGAAGCACTGATTTTTCATGGTGATCTAGCTTCAACTGACTCATGATCTTAACCATTAAAATTACTATAATATCCACAAAACCCATCTGAAAATATGTATATATCAGCTACCTGGAAAGTGAATAAGATAAATCAAACATAAATTATAAAATGTGTAAACCAGTTCAAAGAAAATTAATAAATAGTAAACAATTATTACATAACCTATTTATTGGACTGTTGTTTAAATAAAGAATTTAAGTATTCATTGTAATGATAATTAAATTTAAATAGAATATTTAAAATATCTATTTATGATAAGAAAGTCCTACTATATATATATATATATATATATATATATATATATATATATATATATATATATATATATATATATATATATATATATATATATATATATATATATATATATCTTGTAGATAATATAAATTTGATATTTACTTAATATACATACTGTGGTGCATAGTAATCTAATTAAAATAAATTATTCACTAATGGTTTGTTTAACTACAAAGTTAAAACTATAATTGTAGTATGTATTACTGATATTGACAGATATAAGTAGTATGTATTAATAATCGAAAGTGAAATACCTGGCAGTAGAAAGTTAAGACGATCGAAGAAATTTAAACTAGAACACAATGTGATTGGTGTGAAAATGAAGGAATAATCAAATCTGTGACAATTGATTGACATTTTGAAAATTAAGTGTTTATTGTATGGTTCTTAAATTTTGTATTCGCATAGATCCGCTTATTCCTACTTGTATGCTCTCATTCACTACACAATCACTTAATTCAAGATATGTGTTTATTCATACATATTTTAGGAGTATATATGTTTTCAGGTTAACAATAAGACAAAAAAGATTCTAGTTTTTCTTACATTGGATCATGAGAATAGCTCGTAGATATTCTGTTTGTAGGCATAAATAAAATAAGTTTAGTTACACAATCCGAAATAAAACTGATGCGAATAAATAGATACTTTTAAAAATCAATCAGTTCAAAGTGGTATATCCTTAATGTTAGGTGGTTGAAGGCAATCAAAAGGAAGCTTTCTATTTAAGATTGATGATTGTTGTCACTCTGCAGTTTTGAGATGCGATTAAGCTTTTGCTAAACTGAGAGTTTCATGCTTTTGATTATCAAATATTCTACTTATCTTTGACATTGGGTGATATGAGTTCATATTTCATTAGAGGTAATAATCCCTTTTAGATTCCAGATGAGTTATACTGTTGAGTAACAACTAGCATGAAATGTAAGTGTACAGTCATAACGAAGAAAACTGTTCTAATGTCAAAAAACAACTAGTGCTGTCCTCATCATGATGATTAAAAATTCAAATATCTGAATTAAGTCAATAACATCAATTTAAGAACAATGATGTGCAAACGTATCTTCCAGATAAAACAGATTTTATGTCTTTTAGATAACTATAAGTAATTAACAGAAAATCTTATACTCTAATCTTCTGTTTATATGTGTAAAGATGATTAGATTGGTTATTATTACCATTGTTGTTAAATGTAATGAAGCACATATTTCGGCCAGAAATTGATAATTGATCCTGAATTCTACGCTCAGTGAAATGGCTCCTAGTACATTGTAATAGTAGGCATTCAGTCGAGAATAAAGTAAAAGGTCTCTTATTGATTAAAAAACATTCATAAGCTTCTAGACTATTTCATTAAGAAAAATTTATTGTTTAACGTAAAATTACTTGATGGTAAGTGGCGTGGAGTGAAATGGTCAAACGCTTCGACAATTCCACTTATCGTGAAAGTTCAGTCAGCCCTATTGTTTTGGCGTCTGACGAAATCTCGGCACGGATTCAGAAAGCTCGTTTGGCTTTTGCCAACTAACGTCACCTGTGGCGAAGGCAAGATATCCGTCTATAAATTAAAGGACAAGTATACTGTGCAGCAGTTCGTTCTGTTCTACTTCACTGCTGCAAAATGCGACCATTAAGAGTAGAAGATACTCGTAGGTTACTAGTATTTGATCACATATTTCGTAGAAATATTGCTCGCACCTGCTGAGATCACTGGGTAAGTAATAGTGAGGTTAGACTCATGGTATTGGAGAATGATGGTAAATCAATTGTTGAGGTTGAGAACCTTCATTTACTGAGATGGTTGGGTCACATGTTATATATGCACGGACACCGATTATTACGGCGCGCAATGATGACCGGTATTGAAGATGGTTGGATGAAAGTCAGGGGTGGCCAAACCAGAACGTGGCATCAGTCCTTGGAGTCATTAACTTCTGATCTGAGCCATGTTGGTAGATGCAGACTACTTGGTTGGGGTCCGCGCGACTATTGTAACCAACGGTTAGAGACTCTGGATGACATGGCTCAGAATCGACCATAATGACGTAGATGTATACACTCTTTGTCTTCCCCTAAACTATGAGATTAAAATCGTTTCAAAATTAAATTTACTTTATACCTTTCTTTCTACGAACCAATTCTTTCTTCCTGTATCATATCCTTATATCCGGTCTTTGTCTACATATATATTACTAACATTGAAGTATCTGCTTCCATGAATTTGGTGTTTATCTTGTTGTGCTATTAAGGCATGGCCACTTGGACTGATGCATATATGTGCCTTGTCCTATGTTGTAGCTAACTGACTGACTGAAGTGGCGTGGACTACATTGATAAGTCATTTAGAATAATAATTAAGAGTACGCCTGATTAATAGATGCATCTGCGTAATTACCAGTTATCAAACTGTGTTCATAATCAAATGCTCAATGGTAAGTAAAGACTAGCTTCTATTGTTTTGTAGTAGCCGTGAAAATGATCCAATAAATGATAAGGTTCAAAATAAACTGCTTTATCGAATAACTCTTCAACAGTTTCATAAAGATTATACTGAAATATCATCAACATCACCTAAATTATTATTCTCTTCTGAAAGAGATCCTTTAGAATCTTTAGTATATTCATGAACTTAGTCAACTGTGTATATTTGAAGATAACCACCTAAGACGTTTAGCTTACTTCAGGTGCTTTCTGTCAATTATGACACGATTTTATTTGCAATCGTAATGAATCATGGGCTTTATCATCTATCAGTATAAAATTGGAGAATATAAACTATGAATCAGTTTCATGTGTAACACTATTACTCTTATCAAGATTTGAGTATCAGTTTTTTCAAGGTCCAATAACTATAAACAAAAGTATTCGATTATTATAAGTCCAAATATTTCATTGTGTTTACCTAATATTGTTGTTCAAAGAAATTCAACACACCATAATCCCTAATCACTTATAACAGACTATCCGAGTGTGTACAATAATGATTTATAGAACATTGCCGTTAAACAAACTGTCTTTAAAAGCATTTAGTTCGTATGTTAGTATTATTCTTGTTTGATTGCTTTTAATAACTAATTTAATTGGTAATCACTACTTTATAGCTCCGCCAATGATTGCCGAACCACGTACTACACGTTATTCTGTCCGTAGAGGTGATACTGTAGTTCTTGTTTGTGAAGTCACAGGCAATCCTGTACCCTATGTGATATGGCGCTTCAATTGGGGGTGTCTTCCTGAGGAACCTAATCGTTTTAGAATAAGCAATGTACCCAGAAACTGTAATGCACCAATGCCAACTGTCGTGAGTACCCTGACAATTTCAAATGTAAGACCAGGAGATGATGGAATTTATAATTGTGAAGGTCTTTCAGGAGCTACTCGAGCGTTATCCAATGACTTAGTTGTCATGATTGGAGGTTAACTAATGTGAGTGATAATTTTGATTGCCTAACATCCTTTTTAAATTCCTCGTTTCAGAAATTCATATACTTTCCATGTTCCTAAATGAGCTTTACTTTTGATATATCCTTCATGTTTAAATCTGTGAATCCAAAATTATTCTTTTATAAAAATTTACCAAACCTTCCAAAGATCATGCAAAAATTAACGTTATTTAGATTTTGTTAGTCTTAATTTTAATCGTTGATAGAGGTGAATATTTGAAATATAACTTTATCCAAACGAAAAAAATATGCAATATCAGGTAAAGACTCCATAAACAACATGTTCAGCTATTTACTCACTTACTTATACCTTTTACCTCTAGTGGAGCATAAGTTGCTGACCAGAATTTTTCAGCCGACTCTGTCGTTTGCTCTCCTTTCCAGTTCTTTCCAAGTGCTATTCATTCTTTCCATTTCGGCCTCCAAGTCCTGGCGCAATGGGTTCTTTAGGATGCCCCTTTTTCTTTTGCCTTGAGGATTCCAAGTTAGGGCCTGCAATGTAGTGCAGTCTAATGACTTCCTCAATGTACATCCTATCCACCAACTCCATCATCTTTCCCTAATTTCCTCTTCAGTTGGAAAATGGTTTGTTCTCTCCCATAGTAGGCTGTTACTGATGGTATCTGGTTAACGGATATTGAGTGTCTTGCATTGACGATTGTTTAGAAATACTTGTATCTTTTTTATGATGGTTTTAGTAGTTCTCCAAGTTTCATCTCCATACAGTAGAACTGTCCCGACGTTCATATTGAAGATTCTGACTTTGATATTGGTTGACAGTTGTTTTGAATTCCATATGTTATTCAGTTGTAGGGATCATGCCCTTGCTTTGCCGACCATTCCCCTGACATTTTCATCAGATCCTTTTTGTTTACTAATGATGCTGCCCAGCTATGTAAAACTTTCTACATCACCCGGAGCTTCCCCATCAAATGTGATTTGGTTGGTGCTGGCGGTGTTGTACTCCAGTATCTTGCTTTTTGCCCTGTGTATATTGATGTGTGTTACTACAGAGGCTGCTGCTACACCAGCTGTCTTCACTTAAACGTTTTGTTGTACATAGGACAGAAGAGCTAGGTAATCTGTGAAGTTCAAAACGTCTAGCTGCATCCAACTCTCTATTGTATTCCATGGTTCCCCTGAGATGTGAAGGTTTTCATAATCCATCCAGCAACCAGAAGAAAGAGGAAAGGTGAGAGTAAGTGGTCTTTCTGACACCAATCATCAACTTGAATGCATCTATGAGAGCTGCCTTTTGCGCACAACTTTGCAGTTTGGTCCCTCTTAGGAGTTTCGTATTATGTTGACGATCTTTTCATAAGTGCCATAATGTAGCAAAAGATTCCACCCAATTATTCTACCTACACAGTCAAATACCTTCTCATATTAAAGCTCGTTAATGTAAAGTGATGAATTCCATCCAGTCTATTGCCCAACAATAATCTGCGGTCTATATATGACAGACGATTACACAATCCTGAAGTTGGAGTCCTTTGATAAAATGTTAAAACCATACGTCCAATACTCTATTTGCAACTCTTCCATCAATTGTCTCAAACTCCATCGTTCTTTTATCACCATAAATATTACTCTCTGTTTCCGTTCTCTTCGATATGATTTTCCCAATATTCTGCTGCCAGACATTCCACTTCCGATTGGTGATATATACTACTACTTAAGTAGCATAAACCACACTACTACTTCCCACTCTTGATTTGTCTGATGACCTTGCTGACTTATTTTCGATAAAGAAAAACCTATAGAGAGGTCTGTAGGTTCCGCTTTGATGCCCAGTGGGTATAGTATGGCTGGATCAGTCAATATCTCTTAAAGTGTTCTACCCACCTGGTCTGTTGTTCTTGAATCGCAGTGGTTGGTATGACTTATTTTTTCATGACTGGTCTCTCCGGTTTACCATATTTCCTCGCTAGCTCTTCCTTTTTATCATAACGTTGTTTCATATTTGATTCTCTTGAGTTATTTTTTTCTGTCGTTCCTATGTCTTCCTGGTATTTGAGTTTTTCAGCTCTAATATTCTTTTCCACTCATTTGATTGCCTTTGTGTATTCATTCTGTGTCTTGGCTCTCTCTGCTTTTGTTTATTTATTGCTGACTTCTATCTTCCTGGTTTTCCAGAATATCTGCAGTAATTCATTCTTTACGCTGGTGCTTGTTTGGCCCCAGCACTCCATAGCATGTTAAAATTTTCGCTTCTTTAATCGCTTTCTAGTTGCTCTTTGTAGTGGTCCTCACTGATTCCATAAGATTTCGCAAGACGTGGGAGTTGTTGAGAGATATTTTGCACTCTTTGAGCTTGTTAAAATGTCGACAGAAACGTGTCTTAAACTTCTGTGTTGTTGCTTGTTCAATTTTCCAATGCGTTTTTATCTTTGGCTTTAGCTTGGCCACCACCGGATGGTGATCTAAAGTTATATCATCTCCTCTTTTTTGTCTACTTTTCTTACATGAAACTTCCTAGTCCATAGCGCTTCATGATTTATTTCCTCTCAGTGTTGTCCATAGACAACTTAGCGTTCAGGTCTACCATCAGGTTGGTCAGCTCTTTTCCTGGGCAGTTTTCTACGTTGGACTCCGGCCTCATAATACTAATTTTTATCCCCTACACTGTCATCATTGCTGAGTGCGCAGCAATGGATCGCATTTACTGCCATCCTGTCCTCCTCTGCTTTGAAGGATATTTTGACCGTTCCGAAGCTATGATATGCCCATCCGGAAGTGCTTTCTTGCTTCTTTAGATAGCATTGGTGTATGTGATGCATTTTCCCCTTCATTACTAAAATAAAGCAGCTTCTCTTCCAGAGCTAGTCTTTCTATTCAGCTTGTGTATAATGGGTTACACTTATCCTCAGCAGAGCCACTTAGTATTTTCTGGTTTCCGCCACTATTTGAATAGTCTTCCGGTCTTCCTCATTGTGTGGACACTCTACGTACCCATATTGATTATCACGGCGGTTGTCAGAAAGGGTCATCGGCAATGTGGTTTCTAAAAAATCTCGGCTTTCAGCATGAGGCATTGTAACTCTTATGAATGTAGACCTTGAAAATGACAGAGCCGAGTGTAAGTGATTTTTTTCTGGTCACTCCCTTTTAATGAATTTCCTTTTTATAGGATTAGGTTGCCAACCTCATACCGAACTCTCGATTACCCGAATTGGGGATCAGCAGAAATCAGTAATCCTGACTTACAGAAACCTGATAAATATATTTAAAAATATAAACTATCCGAAAAATGCAAACCACTTCATCAAAGTTCACGAATTTTTATCAATGTTCACTCGGAACTTCGACAGAGATTTAATCTATCACCCTTATGTCTCGGGGTGAGCATCTAACTTTGGCTACAGAATACAATGGTTCACATTTCCCTATTTATTTATTTAGGTATTTAGTGAGACGATCAACTGGCGTTTGAACTCAGACATAAGTAGAGTTCATCGATTACGACTTCAGATTAGAAATTCAGAATTTATCTCAAGATTCCTCAATATTTAGCATAATATTATCATACTGAAATTCACAGTATTATTGTTTATTTAGTTACCTGTAGAAATGAGTTCAACTTTGGTATAGTTTTCATCATGCATTGACTCAAAGTCTTGTGATCTGAAAGTCATTGTTTTTCTTGGGCGTCGCTTCTCAACCTTGATGAGTTTCAAACTAGTATAAATCAGTTATCCGATGCCGTCTTATGTTCACTGGTCTATCAACTAAATTCTGTTTATGATTTATTTATTTGAACAAATAAACATTAGTACAAAGGGGCACCGAATACGTATGCGCCACACAAGTCACCTGATTTGTGTGTGGGATGTGATACTGCCTGAGTGCCCAAACTGAAGAAGGTGGTTTTCTTAGGGAGCCACTCTCGGAGCCTTTGACCTAAAGGTCTGATCCACAAGGCAGTGGAGCAACGTCAGGATATGCAGTCTCATAATAGCCACTTGTTCCCTCAGGATCCTGAAGCTCATGTGCACCATTTGTTTTTAATCAGGGTTTTCTGACCCACCAAGGTGGTTCCTCCGTATCCACCAACCCGGTTAAAGCGTCGGACATTCGCTTTTTGTTCTCTCAATTTCGTAAACGACAGTAATGCCGCGAGAATGCATTGAGTAGGACTTCCCTGACAGTGTTGTATACACGTGGCCATGTGAGAGCATTTGGAGAGTGAAGGTGAACTTACCCCATCCTCGACTGTATCAGGGCATCTGGGGGACACAGAAAACAACCCCAAATATAAGCAATCTTAACGACATTAAGAATAAGTTCTAAAGTAACTGTTCATCTTATATCTATTAAGAAAATCGATGACTAAGTTATTCATGAACGACTAAATATGAGAAGGGGTTTTGTGGTGATTTCAGAAATTTCAATGGTTAAGATCATGAGTTAGTTGAAGCTAGACCACAATGGAAGGCCTGGAAGCACTGGACGGCCGTTTCTTCCCATTATGGGACTCCTCAGCAGTGCGCATCCACAACCTCGCCCCCTGTGAGATTCGAACCCAGGACCTACTGGTTTCGCTCTCGAGCACTTAATCACTAGACCACTGAGCCGGCATCCAACGATGTTAATGCCGTCCAGTGCTTCCAGGTTTTCCATAGTGGTCTAGCTTCAATTGACTCATGATTTCAATCAGTGAAACTAAATATGAATCATACAAATTTGTCATGTATTTCATAACTAGTATAATATACTTTCTAATGTTCATTAAATTAAACTTTAAATAGAATTAAAGATAATAAATATTTGTTATACATATTTATTTTATTCCACAAAATTAAAAATATCATTATTCTATTTAATCATTTTATTACTTTTCTATACTTTCATTATAGTTATCAAGTTTCATGAAAAGCCAATAACAACTTCCAATAAATAAATAAAAAACAACATTGAATTTATTTAAATAAATCAATTTTAAAAAAAAACAGAGACATTTTAGAAGTGTTTTCTTTTTAGTTAATAATATTCCTATTCAGTTTGAATCTGTTCTATTCTTTTCAAAAGATAATGAAGTAAACAATTTAAACAAGCAAATTTTCAAAATATTTATATACATATATATACATATATATATCAACAGTTAAAACAAACAAACATTTAGCTATATTCAATAATATAAAAAAACTTATTTATTTTACATATTTATTTATCAATTATTATATAAGAATTAAATGTTTCAATCATAAACAATACTATTAATTCAAATGATCAATTCAATATTCAATAATAAAGTGCATTTTTCAAAAAAATGTTTTAATGAATCACATTTAGTAATTTTACATTATCAGATATAATTATTTAATTATACTGTCAATTTATTTTCATTATTTAAAGAAAAACGACAATCAACCAAAGGGAAATAATTCAACTTTGTATTGAATATGAATAATTTCTATGGTAAATTAATAGAATTGTTTAATGTTAAAGATTTCAATGAACAAATGGTATATATTCTTCAATATGATGTTTTTATTTTATTTTTCAGCTTAATAATGATACAAATTGAGTTATTAATCTTAATTAATTATAATGTTATTTTAGAAATATTTACGCTTAAAAAATATTTTTTTTCTTTTTCATGTTTAAATAAAAAATGCTAATATTTCTTTGAATTGATTATGTTCTATGTTGCTTTGGAGATTTTGTTTCTTAGAATAACTAAGTATCCATGACAATTCATACTTAGTAAACGTCTGAATATACATTTTTAAAAAAAAAGATGAGTGAACTCTGAACTTCCTGTCATCAATGCTTTTTAAACAATTAAGCATAAGTTGGTTAACGGTAACTACTGAGATTTGTAAAAAAAAAAAGAAATTTTGTTACATTTTTGGCAAAATCTTGTAATTTGAGCTACATGGTTTAACACAAGATCTTCCATTTTCTTTCTTATTGGACATCATCATCGGTACCCAGTTAAAGTGAAAATGAGTCTTTCAGAATTACATTATAAGAGCTGAACTAGTATTTTTTGATGGTTATTTTTGCTGTCTCTGTATGCTCCGGCAACTTTGTATATCTCTAGATTCTAATCAACTGTTTTGTTCGATTGACCTCTAACCATATCACTCGGTGACCTTCTTCATATGTTTGGAAAAACTGAGTCTATATTGATATGATTTTCAGCTACCTATCGGACTAAATATCATACTTCTCTATGTTTTCTAAACTTTTTGGAATTATCTCGGACCACATAAAGCATAAAATCACTGCTTCTGTTTAATAGGAACTATTTGAGTAACTAGTGTTATCCGGTCACTAGGTAAATGATATTATAAAACGATGTAAATTGACAGGTGAATGAATGCTTTAAGAATTAGCTTTCCGAACTATCATATCATTTTCTTTGTCCAGTGCCTCCAGATCTTCAATGGTGATCTGGTTTAGTTCAGTTCACCATTTCAATGAAAGTAAACAATCTTCACGATCTCATATTCAAAATTTTCCTTTTTGTTGATTAATTACTCTGAGTAGGAGAATTCATGATTTCAGAGAACATATTCACAAGAAATTTCGACATAGAAGAGAAAACGGTTTTTGAAGTTCGGTTAAGGGCCATCTGTTCAGTATGGAATAAAGATATATACAGTGTGCTCATCCAAAATATTCAATACAACTCCTTTCTATCAAAATTCGCAGAGGCTATAGAAATTAGGAAACATAAATATCCTTTTTGTGTTTAACAGGAGACTGTCTCAATTCCAACTCCGTAAGTACGAAAAAACCAGTATTAATAGGTTAATTTTATGTTTCAAAAAATCATCAACACCGTTCAGTGGTCCCAATTTAATTTTCTGTCTTACCTTTTCGCGTTCTTTATAAATCGTTCGTTTTGTTACATAACTACATCCCATTACTACCACTATAATTACATATTATAACAGTGTTCTACCGATCACTGAAAAAATTAATTCCTAAAGGTTGTACGCTAATATTATCATCGAACTTGATTTACTAGCTTATATTTGGTAGGAAAGAATACATGAAACATAATCTCCTCATTGTATTCTACAAATATTATAGTTTATACTATTTTTAAGCTTGTGAAGTAGACAAGTTGTACAAAATCTTTTTGTAGCTGGAATTTAATAGTATTCGCATTAGCAGAAAAGAGAGATCATGTCCTAGCTATGACATTTTTCAGTCTGGTCGATGCAGTATCATCTCAACTTTCAGCTTCTTTTCGGGTCAAGCAGAAAATTTGACACTCATTATGACCATGAGTTGCCAATGCCAAATCCAAATTCATTGGTTACGTTGACCCTACCTTTGGAATATCAGGCGACTGTGAAATAATAAAATTTACTTACACAAGATGATAGACTCAGTGAAAAATGAACTTAATCTCCTCTATAACTCGGAATCTGGCATTCCTAAAGCAGTGTTCTTATTGGTATGCTAATGTAATTTTCAAGACTACCTCGCCTTTGTTTACTCAGGTATACACAATTCACTGTACGGAATTCAATTTTATTATTCGCCTAATTTCCATTTTAATGTGAGACAAAGACATGAATTCGTATGTACACATCTTTTAAAAATCGGATGAACTCCTGACTTTAAATCCACTAATTAGCAAGATCGATTACGAACATTCAGGTTTATCGGCATTCCAACGAGTGTCGAAATGAGGTACATTAATGTTTTCCATTACATTTGAGAAAATTTATATGTCAAAAGCTCCGACAAACAGAACATCAACAACATTAAACAACCGACAGAAAGTTCGATGTCCATATCTGTCAGTTGGCAGTAATACCTTCACTACCGATTGCTGATGCCGTATCTGAGTTTGATGGTTTAATCGAGTAACCATTATGCACAGAAAGTGGAGAAAAAAGCAAAGTACCAACAAACTATTTTGAAACCATTTGAACATCAAGATAAGGAGACCACTGCGGTCAAATTTGGAAAATTGTATTGTGTAACATTCACACATCAGTTGTCAGATATATTCCTAAAATAGGATGGCAAAGAGAATTGACCTTACTCATCCGAAAACTTGAAAATTCGTTGAAATTCGTTGGAACTGAACATTTAGACATGTTATAGAAAGTTAAAAGTATAATTGACATTTACATCTACGGTACCTTGACAAATCTCATCCCTTGCAGTTCAATCTTAAATAATGATCACTATAATCGATGTCGGTTCATTTTGCACTCACCCGTTTGTATATACCCTAATTAGGTTAAATTCAATCTAAGCACGATGCCCAACTGATAACTTGACACCCCACGGACTGATGAATAAACTTGACAAAATACTTCCAAGGCTATTACATAAACCGAAACTACTTACCATCAAATATTTTATTTTCTTTAAACACGCCTACGACACAGTGAAACTAGCTAGATAATTGAACAATACTCTATTGTATCCTATCTTTGAAATAATTTCTCTGTTCGGTCCTAAAAGCTATTGTCTAGTAAGTTTAGCTGACATAGTTGTCAAGATTCTAAAGAGGTTATTTGAAAACAACTATTTAAGCAATCGGGCAAGATCTTGGTACTCCAAATAATAGCATGTTTTCCGAATCGGTTGCTCAGGCTTCTAAGTTGTTATTGGCAAAGAAACATCCACTGGCATCCCAGGTCACAGGTTACCGAAAGATGCAATCTTCACTCACTTCAGTAACGGTTGTAGTAAAGTTCCATGTGCCCAACTTCTATCTGAGTTAGGCAACACGGGTTGGGAGTAATTTAATGCTGCATACAGATGGCGATGATTAACAGAGGCTCCTAGTGTAATCTTTGCTTAGTCTTCTTTCTTTTATTCGTAAATAATCCCCAACGTCTTTCGTTCCGCTCAGTCTTGATATTTGCGGACTGTAACAAGATATATGACGTTATACAAACTGAAAGGAACACTATAGATTTCTGAAATGCTACAACAAATTATTAGAATTATCGAATACTTGTGTTGAATTACTTTTTTTGCAAACACACGGTAACCTTGGAAGTGATATCAGTCAAGACTCAAAGTTCGCTGCGCAATCCTAAGTGGAAGCTGTTTTAAAAACTTTGAAAAAATACATGGCTTATTCGACCACCGGGATACCAAGACGTCCATAACTTTGAGTACAACAATTGTCCACCCACATTTTGAGTGAGTCATGCGAACATCCATCTCCTTCCCTCAAAAAGACTGTGGTCCGTTAGGAAAGAACTGAAAATTGGCAAGTGAATCAATCTCTAACCTTTTGTATGATGAACCAGCTACTATTATACAGGAAGACTCCAGATGGCCCATTCACAACTTTCAACCTAAATAACGGTTATGAATTGATATTTTTCGTTTGTGTAGCTTTCAGGAACGAAAGATTTGCACTTTAAGATGCACAGCATGCCCTGAAAATCTGCCATAACTAGTTGAATACTCTATGAATTGTATTGATCGCAACTGACTTCGTGACTTACTTGGTTAGTGTGACTAGGTAACACTTCTCATGAACCAAGTTTACTGACACACAGTGTCAGTGAGGAGACATTGAGAAATAGGATATCTGGTAAGTCAAATGTTGGTCATTTCACACATAAAACGTAAAAGGCTTCCCAGTCTGGTTCTCCTGAAAACCAATGTAAAATTACGCTGACCCACAAGGGTATATTATATAACTGTGAATTGCCCAGAGACTGGAAATACGCCATAAAAAGTCCGATGTATAAGGCTGGGAGTAGGGATTTAGTTAGTAACTATAGACCCATTAGCTTAACTTGTGCATTTGTAAAACTGATGGAAAAAATCATTCGGATATATGTTATAAGCTATGTTGAAGGGTATAATCTTTTCTCCAGGGAACAACATGGTTTTCGAAGAGGTCTATCATGCTTGACAAATCTCCTCATCACAAAAGAAGATTGGGCTGCTGCAAAAGATCGGAATATTCCTGTGGATGTGATCTTCATAGATCACAGTAAAGCCTTCGATATAATCTCCCACTCTGGTCTTAAATTCAAACGGGAACTTTTTGGAATCCATTATACAGTTGTAGATTGGATAAGTAACTTTCTCCATGACAGGAGACAAAAGGCAAGGGTAAATGGGGCCCTCTCCTCGTGGGTACCTGTAAAGAGTGGAGTTCCCCAAGGTACAATCCTCGGTCCTCTTCTCTTTTTACTTTATGCAAATGAATTACCAACTGTAGCAAAATCATCCGTTCTACTCTTCGCTGATGACATAAAAATTTGGAGACCCCTACGCAGTATGTCACATAGGATGGTATTACAAAATGATCTTAGCTTATTGGTGGCATGGTTGGACAGGTGGTCACTAGAAGTAAATCCCAATAAGACTGTGATGATGCAAATAAATAACTATGATGAATCGTATCACTATACAATATGTTGATTCATGCTACCCAAAGTAAGAAACTGTAAAGATTTAGGAGTCATATTAAGCAGTGATCTCAAAGCCACTAGTCACTGTAAGACTGCTGCTGCGAAAGGCTATAAGGTGTTATGGTCAATTCGTGGGTCTTTCCAATATTTAAATGATGAAATGTTTAGATTATTATACCCCACTTATGTGCAACCACATTTAGAATATGGGATTCAAGCAGCTAGTCCTTTTTTCAAGTATGAAGCAGAGATGCTGGAAAGTCTAATGACGAGGTACTAAGACGGTACAAGGTCTATCTGGCCTATCCTATGAAGAAAGACTAATACACCTTAACTTATTTCGTTATCTCACCATAGAGTACGGGGTGATCTAATTATTGGCTTATCGTATACTGAACGATGACCTTGGTATTAACACGTCTTATCTTTTACTTCCGTCTAGGACTGATCATTTGAGAGGACATTCGAAGAAAGCTCAAAAATTAAATCGTTTACGTTTGGAGTTTCGTTTCTCGCACCGAGTAATGAATTACTGGAATTCTCTACCGGAACACGTAATATCAGCACCTTCTGTTAATATATTCAAAACGAGATTGGACCTCCACAGTATTACAAACTGCAGGGATTAATATAGGTTGATAGACCTCTTATCCTTTTTACTCAAAACTGAAGAAGACTGAAGACTGTTTACCTTAACGCATGGCCACCGCTCCTTCAGAAAACACATTTGTGGACAAGACATTTTGTGGCCCATTACCTGACTCCGATTTGATCGTATGTTCATTGCCATCGAAATATACATGTCACCAATTCCGTACATATTTATCGATTTAACTCGCGTTAGCGAATAACGGAATTAAAATTATTCAAATACGAGAATGGAGTTTTGAATACGTATATTTAGTACAATCGTCGATCAGAATAGACGTTCAGAGAGATGAAGAGAAGAAAGCGAAGAGGAGATGGCAAAGCGAAACGGATTGATGCGCGGTGGAGAAGGCGAGTAAGCCAACTTGATTTAACCGACCACGAATTGATATTTATAGTCGAACAAAAATAAGCTGCAGATATGTGATGTTTAAGATAAGAAATTTACATACATACGCTTACGTAAAAACGGTTGGGGTTGATAAGCGATTAATTAACAAGATCAAAATACGGCTCCAGAAGAATAAATAAATTGGTCTGTCCAAAGGCTAGAATAACCTGTGCAGGTTTGACATAGTACCAGACCCTGCAGGTTAAACAGGGCATCCTCATCGTCACAATTAAAGAAAGCTTTTCATTCTTTAGACTTCTTTAAAATGAATATGTAGTATTTAGCTAAACTGTCAAACAATATACAGTGCTCTTCTTTCTTCTTCGACTGAGTTGAGGAAAAATATTCGTTTCAACTATGATCAGACTATGTATGCAGTCAACACAACCACTCATAATCGGCAAAAGCCTTTCTCTTACCAAAACGTCAGAGGATTGCAGCAAATCTCTTGTATTAGGAATAAACAACAAGCGAAGAAACACCGACAGGTTTTGTGGTTGAAATAGTTTATTAATTGTTGCTTTACCCTCGTGTAAAATTTTCACACCCTTTGTTAAACAGAGTACGCACAGTCAAGAACTTCTAGAAATAAAGCTTGATGGATATTATTCACTGAATTGTATTTTGTTTATTAATATACGTATAGTTTGCATTTCGGTATATCTTTGTCTGAACACTCCCTATTCTTGTTAAAATAGTAGAACAGACCATCTCGTCGCTTCAGTTTTTTAACAAATCCCGTATTTGTCCACTTCTCCGGGTCAGCATTATTATAGTTCTCAAAACATTCGTAAATAATATAAAACGAAAAAACTTACAAAATATTCCACTTCGTCTCTGTAACCCGCCAACTGAAACCTATATGCATTTTCGACTTCAGTAGACCAATGAGATGCACGCCGCATCCCAGTTGGCTTTGTATTCTCCATCTGACTTTTTCAACAATGTTGAATTTACTGTTACTATGACAACTGTTGTTTATATTTCGGTTTTCAGAAACTTTGTGAAAAGTTCATATAAACTTATCGCTATGCATATACTCTTACCTTGGTTTTAAGAAGCGGTCTAGGATCTCAAGCTATAAAAGTGAAGGTATTCTAGCCACTCAACTGTCCTGTTCCAAGTAAATTGCTCAAATATTTGGAAATATTGAATACTATGTTAACTTAGCTGACTACCGTTCTAAGGTTTGCGTAGCATTATGCACCCATTAGTGGTCTGGCGTGATGTTTGAGCAAGTGTCTTCAGTTGAAGTGTCTCCTGTCAACTTAATGATATCAGCAACAATGTCGAAGACTTGAATTATTATTTGATTTCAGGACTTATCTACCACTATAGATGTTCTGTCTTTTTGATTTGTCTTTAAGTTTCAGAACGATAAGGCTGTGGAAATTCGAGAGCGAGCATCGATTGTTTGTAATAGGATTCTAAAAATAGACTTTAAAGGAATGGTTCGAACACAATAATTATCAGTAACGCAGTCAATATGTTGAAATAACATCGTATACGTGTCCACCAAAATGAGCTAATACATGAAAATCATGAAATTTAACATAGGCTGGAATGCTTCAATAACCAAAAATGTTACGTATGCCACAAGATATAGTGAAAATAAAATAGTGATGAATAAAATTTTCAACTGCTTGTAATTCCCGTGAAATGTTACGGCCCTTGCCAAGCCATCCAGTAGTATGGTCACTAAATATAGAACAATTTGGTGGTTCATGTTAGGGTCAACCACGACCAACGCCCGTCAATCAATTGATTGCCATGGACTGTCCTGTGCAGCAGTGGTTGCGCACTTTTTGTAACTTCTCTTATCAGTATATTTCTGTGATAACATTGTTTGTGTTGTAAGATCATCAAAGTAGCCATAGTACCTGGATGTGACGAAAGAGCAGTTTGATTTAGGTATTAACCGTGAGGTGTGAATTCGACACAAGCTGACTGATCCCGTCCTACTGAAGTAGACCACCAATCATCGACTAAGATAGCCTGTGTTGGCTTAATACATGATCTTGTGGACGACTCAGAGTAATCCAGCTCACGTACTTTACTTTTCTAACATTTACGAAATTATCTACCGAAGGGTTGTAATCTCATCAGTTGACCAGGATATTGAAGGAAGGCAAACTGATAGTGAGAAAGAAGTGAGATACTATTTGTATGTCCTCTTTTAAGCCTACAATTCCTCATTGGTTATCCAGCGCATTCTGGTGGTGTGAATCAATAGATTTACCACACTCGTTGACTTAGATTACTCCATCTGTGCAAATAAATGTGACGGAATGAATTTTTTGAGGATCTTTCTTAGGTGTTTTATTTTTCTGCCTGCTTTCTATGTTCTATCTAGGATCATGCGACCAAAGATTTTATGTCTTACTATGTCTAATGATTTATTCTTGTCGCTACATACAATTGGATCACTTACAATGTCTCGTTTTACTAAACTCAGTGTAACAGGGTGTACCTGTTCGTCAATGTTGCTTTTTAACTACCTACTGCGAAAGCTTTACCAGTCTTTTCGGTCCTTCTAGATAGAAAATCTACTTAATTTTATTGAAAATCTTCTCTTTAACTCTCAAATACTCGATTGTTTTATTTCTCAATCATTTTTTATTGTATAGTACGTTCATTTCCACCAAATAAGCCTTAAATCGTATATCATAGCCCGTAATTTGAGGCATATCGTATTTTTCTAGTTTCGTTTTGTATGGAATTGTGGTCACGCAGATTAAGTTCAAGCTTATTTTCATATGACCATGGAGTACAAATGATGGATTCAAAACAAATATCGACCAATATCAAAGTTAAAATCCTCAGTACGAACGTCAAGATAGTCCTACAGTCCTACTACAGCCATAATTAAACATGTAAAAGTATTTATGAACATTTGTCTATGCAAGATACTTAATGTCCGTTAACTAGATACCATCAATAACAGCCTACTGTGGGAAAGAATAAACCAAGTTCCAGCACAGGAGGAAATTAGGAAAAGACGTTGTATGTGGATAGGACATACATTCAGAAAGTCATCAAAGTACACCACAAGGCAATCGCTAACTTGGCATCCTAAAGTGAAAAGGAAAAGAGGAAGGCCAATTAACACACCGATACGTCTTGCCAATTAGACGCTATATTCGGTTCCTGAGCTATTCTCGTAACCCCCAAGCTAGAACTACACAGCGACCTGTACACGAGAGAAAAGGCACAGAACATGCGAGAAGCACTTTACTTCAAAGGTTCGTTTTGGTACAGAAAATACAGGGTTTTTATAGTATTTCAAACGTCCTTGAGTTTCCCGAAAATTCTGGAATGCTACTAAACATAGTAGCAGTAATCAGACAATCAATAACTCTAAATGTGACTTTTCACTTTCTTGATGTTTCTGGCTAAACTTCAAGTGAACACTGATTGGATAAAATGCTTTTTAGTGATTCCTGAGTCTTTCTTGTCTTTTGCGAGAGATTTTCTGGATCACCCCAACACACATTGAGCCGAGAATTATAAGCAAGCATGAAAAGGATGAGTGGTGGCTGGAAATAAGTGGAAAGGATTGAGCTGAACAGAATTGGATGGAGAATGTTGGTGGGCGGACTATGCTCCACCACGAGGGTTAACAGGTGTAAGTAATTAATGGGGGTAAAAGTGCTTCTCGCATCACCAATAAGTAAGTAGTTTAGTGTAGTCGAATAAACCTCTGTTTTTCGATTGAAATCGAATATCTGCAGTTTGGCCGTTACAGCTCTCCGGTAATCGTCAACCGACAAACATTTGGAATAGCCGGCAAGCCCACTGGAGTTTTCGTCCTAAACCCAGTGCTGGGCCGCTCATAAGAAACCCTGACAAAAATGCTCTGAGATATACGATATCCCTATCGAATAATGTGCATATATATATACTTAAATCAGTAGTATTCATAAGCGTATTAACATTTGCTGTTTCCAATTGTATATTTGCAAACCTAGACGTAGTTTAATCGCTTTAGTTGAGAAACTTTTCGTCCCCTGTTTATCTTAGTGTCGAAAGTAGTTAGTTTAAGGTAAAATAAAACGACATAAGACTATGAGTTGAATGTAACGAAGAAGTGGGATAAGTAAATTTACTATACAACACGATAACGGCTCAACTTAGGATCGATGGTAAAGAAAACAAGGAAGAAACAAATATAGCGTATAGTCAGACGTTAAGAGATAATTTTTAGTAACACAAAAGCTTTTGCAGATGGGTCTAAATGACTTATAACGACTTAAGTTGATTGGTTAAGAGTTGCGCGATAACATCTTGTTAATATCAAAACATTATAGCCCAAGTACTTATTTACTTCCTCATTTTGTGTGCATTGTGTCTCCTACTATTCTATATTATATCTCGTAAACTTTTTGTGTGAAAAGGAGGACATTGTGCTAGACATTTGTGTTCCACAATATGAATAAATACCTGATCAACTATCATGATTTCTTCTATAGATAAAACGAGACCTATCTACTAGAACGAAAAACTAGCCGACGACTGCAATTTTTTGGACTGTGATCAGGTAAGTTCGGGATTGCCGCTGATAAATTTCTGGCTGACAACAACGTAACTAAAAAAGATAATCCATCTACAGTAGTAGTTAAATCTTTCGAAGCGTATAATCAAACGGTTGAGATGCATGCAAAACCGAAGTTCATATAAGAGTGACTTGTTTAAAAAGCATTCCTTTTTTCAAGAATAAACTTAAATTAGTTACAGACTACAACTGGTGAGATATCTGTGGAGCATAGCATGCCTGTAAGTCTAAAAGGAAAGGGACCTCCAGCAATATGAACATAAAGAATAATGAAGATATATGATAGTGCAAATGATAGCTGATAGCTTTGTCTAACCTTAAACAAAGTGTAATCGAATTGGTATTACCAATTGTATTCGTATTGGGATTACCAATTGTAGCGTGGCGTCGAGTTGAGATTAACTATGAACACCGCTACCAAGAAACACGTGCCAATTAGATCAGAAGGCGTAAGAAGCTCGTTCCAAATGACCCCATAAAATCCCCGAGAAGCCGAATACCAGAAGGCAATTAATGGACCAAGTCGATGTTTATTTGCTGGCGATCTCGTGGCATCGAAAGGATACCGAGATCGTGCCAGGATACAAGCTTGGTTACAGAACGCAACCGAATTCGCGCGAAGTTACAATCAAAGTGTAAGTAAGAGAATGGAAGAACAAAATAGCTGTCATTAGCACAGTCAAACAAAAGCACGTTAAAACAAACACTGGTACACTTGGTTATAATAATAATTGTTTTTATTAAACCAGTCGTGTTCTCGTGATAAACGTGAGTCACTACAGGAGCCCCCCGCTAGAAAGGGTTTACACTTTCGATAAATAGCGGTTTGAATCGTGGGACTGATCGGCTGACGAGCGATTGTAGGACGGAAGAATTGGCGAACAGGAAAGCGATCGATGATCGTCGAGTTGCCAACGAAGGTCGTTATCGGAGAACGGTACCAGGAGCGATGTGTTGTATTTATTGCTTGAGTTGGCATGCTACACCAGAGTGGTTTGTATCCAGAATCTGAAGAGGGCGTTCGTAGAGGTGCGCACCAGAAACGCTGCAGACGTAGGACGAAACCACGTTGAGCCAAAAGACCAGAAGCGACCGTTACGACCAAGTTCGTGACCAAGCGTGTGCCAAGCGTTCGAAACCAATATATCGACTGAGTGCGTTGACAAGAGCATGGGTGGCCAATCCAGCTTTCGCCAAAGTTGACTGAAGTCGACGGAACCAAACGGAGATGGTCGAAGGCGTGGGCTCAGGAAACAAAAAGAAAATCAAAAAAAGAAGAGTGTAGCATACGTGTAGTATAGGAATAATCCTACACCGTATCGGTAGCTGACTGTGCGACTATTCGCGGAAGCGTACGGGTAACCGTACTCGGCGACCGGAACGTGAGACGGCAGTCTCGTTCGCGTCGCGTGAGCCTGCAATCTCATCCGAGGTCAGAGGCGGCGTGGTCTGCTGATCTGGACGTGAGACTATCGTCTCGTCCGTAGACGGTGCAGATGACGCGTGCTGTTGACCGGGACGTGAGAATGAGGTCTCAGATGCATCTAGCGTGGGACCTGAAGATTTAAGGATCCCGCTAGGTTTAATAGGTCTAGCATTGAATCTCAGGTTACCAGATAGGGCACTGTCATCGACGTGTGCTGGTTTGAGACGATCAACGCTGACGATCTCGACGCGTCCATG